TGCAAACAACATGGAAGAAGTACCCTCGTGTTCGTTCGTGAGTGTCGTACAGCGCACGCCGTACACAAGAGCTCTGGATGAGCGAGCAGCAATAAATGTAGGAGTTCCGAGGTGATGGCGTCGTCAGATAAGAAACCGAGTCTCCGCGTATCCGACATGGAGACCACGCACAGCCGCAGGAATTTTTCCGGAAGCGCAGAGAGAGAGAGAGGGGAGACAGACAGCAGTGCGAGACGCGACAAGGCAACAGGAGAAAGAGAGAAGACTACAAGAGTTGTGGGTGAGGTTGCGTTCTTCTGGAGTAGTCCGAGAAGTGTTTCTACAGACTTTCGATGCAAGATTTCTTGGGCAAGTTCATCCCCCCCGCCATGTTGTTGTTGAAGCACGCAGCAGACAGATTGACTGCACAGCCTTGGCAGAGAGAGTCGAACAAAAAACCTGCGAAGGCTGCTCCATGTCTCAGATGCAACACTCTCTTCGTGCCAAACCTGCTCCCATCTGCCCTCGCAAACACCCGCGCGAACAAGGGCCGGTATTAATAGTGGTTTGCTTTCAGAAGGTCAGAGTGCGAAAGGTCAGTGCAGCAGCACGGTTCCGTTCGTATGTTTGCGTACACCATCAATTTTTCTGTTTCGAGGAAGAGAAGAATAAAAAGCTGTCCATTGATTATTGGCATTGCGAGAGAAGCTCGGGTTGAGAGCATATGCCTAGGGGATTTGCTGCGAGAAGAATCGATGGGCTTCTGCTGTAGTGAGGTAAATAGGGTGCTCGAGGATATTCAAACGTACAGCACTTTGTGCGGGGTGTTCGAAGATCGAAGTTTTGTACACATGCGCGGAGAGAAGGCTGATGCGTAATCTATCCGCCGCCCCAAGACCAACCGAGCTCACCCGGGAGTGCATGCATGCGCACAATGTGCAGCTCCCTGCAGCAAGCAGTGTTTCCATCACCGACACGCCTTCGGTGCTTCCCACTGTACGGTAACGAGGATCCGACCTTGGTGTTTCCCACGATAAGGAGGGTCCAGAACGCTTGTCCTGGTTGCCAGAAGGTACACACCTTCTACATACCGTACATAGGGTTGCTTAAGGTAACTCTGAGCCCGAACACCTGCAGCACAACAATGAGTGACGGTGCCAAGAAATTGGTGTTGTTGGAACACACGACATCTCTTCCAGAGTTATCCGATAACCTACTGTTTGACGTTTGATATTTTTGGCAGCCTTCTCTTCGTCGTGGAGAAATCGAGCTTCGATATCTGGGGGGGTCGTATCTTATGCAACACACGGAAGTTTCGGATTTTCCTTCGTCCCCCGCCACGGAAAAAATTACAAAATGGCAAGAGTTCTTCCAACGAAGAAAGCAATTCCCGTGACCGAAAGCAAGCCAAAAGATTTTCTGTTGCCCCCTCAACAGTAAGAGCGGGATGCGATCTTGTTTTTCCTTGAAAGCATCGGTGGGTGGCATATCTTTCCTGTTCAAACACTTCGTCCTATCTCCTGCAGTACTGGCGGTCCAGGCTGATCGTACACGCATATTTCGTCGCCGCCATCGCTGAGCGCAGGTTGTTATTTTCATACCCTTTGTGCAGATCTACGTACAGAAATATCTGAATTTTCCGTGAATGAATATCGGTTTATCGCACACGAAGAAGTTTTTCCACATAGATAATGGACCCGTACTCTGTTTAGTATTCTGTCTGCGCGTCCGTCTACACCCATGAGGAACGTATATTGTATGGTATCTATTTTTCGGTTCATGTTTGACGACCCAGTCGGGGTCACACTGGAGGAAGGGACGTAGAAAACATTGAAGTTTGATATTTTCACCGTCTATCCTTAACGCCAAACAACAGCGATTTCGAAGGCCCTTCCCTCTATTTTTCTTTACTCGCGACTGTATCACGAACGTTTCTCTCACAAGAGATTCGAGCCCGCGACCTAGAGGAGGATCAATGACCAAGAGGCTACTACGTATATCTCAACCACCGCGCGGGGCCACCGCGTCCGCCTCTCTCATGTCCCTGAGGATTTTCTTTTCCCGATACAAGCTGGGCCAGCCAAGAAGCTCACTTTCGTTGTTTCGCGTCTCACGCTGCCAATTCCACGAGTTTAGGCTTGAAATTCTGTGGCTACTCTTAGAAGACAATAGAGGATGCGTAGGTGCCAGAATTTTTCGAATCTGAGTTGATTTGGGTACTAAATGCTAAATTGGCGGTGTGTAGTGGGGGATGCTTCCGGTACTGAAATCAGAATAAAAAAGGTTTTACAGATTAAGCCGAAATTTGGTGTGCACTTACCTGGGAGAACAATGATGGTAGTTACAAGGCTCAGGCCATCTTCCATCAAAAGTTATGGCTTTGTAAAATCCCCTCTACAACACTCAAGATACTGAGGAAAAGTGAGGATACCGCGATTTCCGAGGCGGTTTTTACGAACTAGAACCTGAAATTTGAAATGTGGTTTGTAAAGGTCTTACAAATATCCCCGAGTCGGGTGCGGTGTTTTTTTTTTTTACGTAAAAAAACCCCAGTATTTTGGGATTCTCAGTTAGTGAATAAAGGGATATCTCACGAAAAAAAAAACACCGCACCCGACTCGGGGACATTGGTAAGACCATTACCAACCACATATCAAAATTTGAGGTTCTAGTTTGTAAAAACCGCCTCGGAAATCGCTTTTAACCATTTTGTTAGCTTCTTGGCTGGTCCAGCTTGTACAACAAAAAACAATTTTCTGTATTGTAGGCGACACACGAGAGAAGAACAAAACAGAAAAGGGTTCCTTCCCGCGTGCGGGGCCTGAACAAGCAAGAGCGAAGCTGATGGAAGAAGCATTGGTGGGGTATGAGAACACGTGCACCAATAAGGCAAATGACGGTGAACTTGGAAACCGATTCGATGCTCATATATATATGAGTTCAGTATGCTACAATACGCATTAGCCTAGATGGGATTCTTCGTGGGGAGTTCGTTATGGCCGTTTCTCACGGCCGATGTCGAACACGTCCTATACAGTATCACGAAAGCTTCTTCGTTGGGAAGCGCGGGTTTCGTAGATGTTGCAGATTTGCGGCAGAAAGAACACGTCTACGTGCGAAAATCCACCCCACTCTGCTGTAGTCCGCTCCGGTGTCCATACTTTTATATTTAGAGCTCGTCCTCCTGCCGTCCTCCTCCCACCGTCCTGCTCTCTCGCCGTTATATTTTGCAGGCTCTCCCCGGACCGCGTACATAGACCACAAGACCACAAGGGTTTTGACGACCCCACCGCGTGAATAGCGATATGGTGGTCATGATTAGCACCCCTTCTCTCAGCCTCGGTCTCCTGGGGTCTGCCTTAATCATGTCTTCCGGCAGCGGCACCAGCACTAGCACCACAGGCTGCGAATGGGAGTTGTACTCGGCCCTCGTGGCGGATGGGTTTTGTCATCAGGCCTTCAACAACGCAGAATGTGGTATGTGGCATTTCGAGAAATCGCGTGATGTTCTAGATTGGTGATTGCGTGGCTAATAACTACGGTAGTTTTGGTCTCTCGGTCGCTCCCCATTCCCCTAACAAAACGCTGGGCATTGACCACCAGAGAGGAGCGCACCAAAAGAGTGCGCTCTTTGCCCTCGCGAACACGTGTTTCCCACAGTATTTGGGACTATTCACCGTTTGCTCTCCTTTTTCAGCCGTATTGGGCGATAGACCAACTCATCACGCCTGACTATCTCGACATGATATATCCCAAGTGTGCGACGATGTTGTTCAGGTGGGCGACAACATGACAACCCCCTATGGCGTGGTGGTAGCAGCTGCTGTTGCTGTTGATGTCATCGCCGTTGAATTTCTCGTCTTGACAGATATTTCTTACCATACTTCTTTCTGCATAGTCCACATGTGTTAATTGTAGCTCATCTTCCGTACAGCTGAAGTCGGCGAACGAATGTTGTGTGGGCACGGAAGGGTGAAGAATATGCCAACTACTTTTTCTAGAAGTGGGTAAACTACCTAGTCCCTGAAACGAGGGAAAACAATCAGAAGTAAATGTCACCTCGAAATGCGTCAAAACCCGTTCATGTAGGGACACGGGTCCCTGTATTGCATGGTTGATGTAAACCTTTTGCATCTGTTCGAATGTTTGACTGCACAATCAAGTCTTGAGATTTTTTCAGGCCGTCTCACACTCCGAGCGTGGGGAGGGGGGTGGGCTTGGTCCGCGGAAAATCTAGCGAGAGACAACGAACCCCCTTTTTGTTGGGGTGGGATAGAACAAGTCCATGTTTTTTCGTGGTGGCCTTCGGTGGAGTATTTTTTCTGCCTCCTGAAACCTCCCTGGCCTGACCAGCGTGACCCTCTCCTTTACCGTCCCTCGATTGCTTTCGCTTCCATGTCTAGCTCGGGCAAACCAGGGAAACGCTCAAGTCGGAATGTTGGGGTCTTCTAGGGTCTGTTGGTTTGGTGGCGGTGCTTCCTGTTTTGGGTGATAGCATGTGGCCTAGGCAATCTAAACGTGACCTTACGGTTAACGAAGACGAGGTCTTTGCGCTTGTAAGGAGATATCAACAGAAACAGAAAAGAACAAGGGAAAAGCTCACATATCGCGCCGGTACGAGATCAGGACCTAGTCGTGAGATGGTGAAGGCTAGATTAGAAGACTATTTTTTTAACTCACCTGTGATAAACCGGCATGTTTGATGCGTCTCCTCGTCTACAACGTCCAGTCAATTCTCATCGCAAAAGGTCTCAGGAGTGCGGAAGATCGACTAGATGCGGTCTGACATGATATATATCTTCCGGCTCCTCAGGATACGACGGCGGTGATTGCTGCGAGTGCACCTGTGTCAATGCCTCTTTTACCTGCGGCTACGGGGGCTTCGCCTGCATAGACCCGTCCGCCGCGTGTGTAGACGACGATGGCATTACTGAAGACATTGCAGAGAGCTGCAATGACGGTGGCGGCTACGTTGCCAGTATTGGCGATGGCTTTTGCAGCGATGAAAACAACATTGAAGAATGCGGTGAGTCCAAGCACGTGTCTGGATTGGGAAAAATGCGGGGCTGAACCGAGTTCATGATGACCCACAATGACGGTTGTGTGTCCATGTCTCGGATAAGCTTGCACAATTGAACAACATATGCCAGGGGGCGCCAGGGCGCAACAATATATACCACTCTTTGCTCGTGCGACTACCCCAATAGGATGGAATATTGCAGCAGTACTCGTGCTTCCAATTGGCAGTCTGCAATATCCCACTTGGCACCAGGAACCAGTGGACCACAATGGAATAGGAGGAACTCATGGATGAATGAAGAAATAACTATGGCAGCTTTAACGTAGACTAACGAAATATTTATTGAACCTCTTCCAAATTTTGGATGTCAAACGAGTTCTCGTTCGTGCCAACTGATGCAGGAACTTTGGGAGTTGCGTTGCATCGCCTTTGACGAAACATTTTCTAACAGCGGGGGCGGGGTTGGACGTGCGTTATTGTGGCGTGCTTCAGCCAACAGGACGGTAGTTCATTATCAACAATAGAGTTTTTCTCGTTGTAGATGGTATGCTGTGTGGACGTAAAGCTTGCTTGGGCCATCTCTCTTGTTGGCCGCACTGCAAGGTAGGATCTCGCATCAATTAGTGTGAGCTAGAGAACAAAGGGAAAGCAACCCGCAATCCCGAGGCCCGGCGCGACATCAGAGGTGTTGTCCTGACTATCCTCCCAAGCATGCTAAGGGTCTTTGATTTCCTAGTTGTTCTGGACGCTGTCGTTTCGCAGACTACGACGGCGGCGACTGCTGCGAGTGCACCTGTGTCGACGCCTTTTATCCCTGCGGCTACGTGGCCTTTGCCTGCATTGACCCGTCCGCGGCGTGCGTAGACGACGATAACATCACTGCAGACATTGCAGAGAGCTGCCATGATGGCGGCGGCTACGTTGCCGGTCTTGGCAACGGCTACTGCAGCGAGGCAAACAACATCGAAGAATGCGGTGAGTCCAAGCACGGGTCTGGACCGGAGTTCGTTGCCGTATAGCTGAGTGAGACGAACCGGATCCTGATCTAATAACAATACGGCTGTCTGTCCATATCACGGATAAGTTTGCACAACCGAAAAACAAAATACCATTGGGCGCCAGGGCGCAACTACTGTAAAAGGAAGGTTTGTTCGTCGAAGCAGATAGAATAAACTGGTGTTTATTTTGTAACAGTCGAATTAGAATTTGGCTTCATTTTCTACCGGAAACCCAGGGTCACGGTGTTTGGAATTATTAGTCTATAGTTGGGGGTGTCATTCCGTGATCGAGTCCACGCAGGGGCTGTAGCAAAGTCGGGTAACGTGTGACAGCTACAGAGCGCGTGAAGCAACGGAAGGACAGCAGCAGCCGCCTAACGCAGTAGCGGCGGCAGTCTCCATATAAAGGTGTGTACTCGTGTCCAACATCCATCGTGTCGGCCGTGTTTCTATTCGCGTCCCGCTACTCTTGTGACCTCACCGCTGCGTGCATTTAGCACGAGGGGGGAGGGTGCAGTAAGATAAGCGGCGGCAAGCCACCGCAGTCTCGCTCGCCGCGCCGCTCAGATAGGTCCCTTCCCAAACATGGGATGCGGTTCATCCCAACCGAGACGTACTCTCGCTGAAGAAAAAAAAAATGCGGTTCGTCCCAACCGAGACGTACTCTCTCTGAAGAAAAAATTCAACGGCAAAAAGAAAGAGCGGGGCCTGTTGTATGGTCGCACGCTGACTTGTCGCGGTTGATAGCAGCCATTGTACTGCACGGGGTGGAGGAACCCTGCGGCATCGGACATAACCAATCGACCCGCGGCAGTAGGGCATGATGCTGTCACGAGTATGCACATGAGGCAGGTGCCTTGTTTTCTGTTTCCCCCGGCTTACTAGGGACTACTTGCCGGTACAATCTTGTCTGTGCCGCGCACAGAGGGGCATATAGCTGAAGGAATCGACGATAATATGCCCACTCACGTAAGCAATCGTCTCCACGGATGGTATTGACAAGTCCCCACTGATGGTATCGACAAGTCCCATGGCATACAAAGCGGCCGCATACGTAATCGGAAAGTGCATTCAACAGCATTCACGGGAACGGATAAAAGCAAAAACACATGCATGCGAGAGAAAGACTCAAAGAAAAAGACTGAAAAACAAAGAAGACGAGAAAAAAAAAAAACGAGACAGCGAACTACGTGCTGTATGCATAAGGAAAAAGAAGATGAGAAAAAAATAGGGGGGGGAGATGAAAGTGACACGCGAGGTTCGAACTCGCGAGGAACGTCAGGTAGCGGTCAATGTGAGTGCATCACGGTCTCGAGGGGCATCACGTCAAATTTATAGCCGCTGTGACACAAACCTTCTATAAGAATACGTCACGTCCATCGACGATGAAGCGACCAAAAACGCCCGGACAGCAATTGATGCATGCCAAAAAAACTCGTCAACCTGCCGTAGGATTGTCTATGCGGAAGTGATCTCAATGAAAAAAAAAAAAAAAAAAAAACAAGGACACGCACCAGCACGGGACGCGCCAATAGTGGAAGCACTCGTCCGTGCTGTTGGCGAGTGGAAGTTAACCGATCTCAACGCAACGAAACACGAAGTCATACATGTATCAGCACGGGATGCGCCAATGAGTGGAAGCACCCGCGCTGTTGGCGAGTAGAGTTAACCGAATTCAACGCAGCGGTAGAAAAATACCACAAATCATGCATCAGTACGGGACGCGCCAATGAGTGGAAGCACCCGTGCTGCATATGTGATATCAGCCTCAGCACGGGACGCGCCAATGAGTGGAAGCACTCGTGCTGTTGGTGAGTAGAGTTAACCGATCTCAAAAAGAAAGAACAAAACGCCGTACATGTATCAGCACGGGACGCGCCAATGAGTGGAAGCACCCGCGCTGTTGGCGAGTAGAGTTAACCGAATTCAACGCAGCGGTAGAAAAATACCACAAAATCATGCATCAGTACGGGACGCGCCAATGAGTGGAAGCACCCGTGCTGCATATGTGATGTCAGCCTCAGCACGGGACGCGCCAATGAGTGGAAGCACTCGTGCTGTTGGTGAGTAGAGTTAACCGATCTCAAAAAGAAAGAACAAAACGCCGTACATGTATCAGCACGGGACGCGCCAATGAGTGGAAGCACCCGCGCTGTTGGCGAGTAGAGTTAACCGAATTCAACGCAGCGGTAGGAAATACCACAAGTCATGCATCAGTACGGGACGCGCCAATGAGTGGAAGCACCCGTGCTGCATATGTGATGTCAGCCTCAGCACGGGACGCGCCAATGAGTGGAAGCACTCGTGCTGTTGGTGAGTAGAGTTAACCGATCTCAAAAAGAAAGAACAAAACGCCGTACATGTATCAGCACGGGACGCGCCAATGAGTGGAAGCACCCGCGCTGTTGGCGAGTAGAGTTAACCGAATTCAACGCAGCGGTAGAAAAATACCACAAAATCATGCATCAGTACGGGACGCGCCAATGAGTGGAAGCACCCGTGCCGCATATGTGATGTCAGCCTCAGCACGGGACGCGCCAATGAGTGGAAGCACTCGTGCTGTTGGTGAGTAGAGTTAACCGATCTCAAAAAGAAAGAACAAAACGCCGTACATGTATCAGCACGGGACGCGCCAATGAGTGGAAGCACCCGCGCTGTTGGCGAGTAGAGTTAACCGAATTCAACGCAGCGGTAGGAAATACCACAAGTCATGCATCAGTACGGGACGCGCCAATGAGTGGAAGCACCCGTGCTGCATATGTGTTCTCAGCCTCAGCACGGGACGCGCCAACGAGTGGAAGCACTCGTGCTGTTGGCGAGTAGAGTTAACCGATCTCAAAAAGAAAGAACAAAACGCCGTACACGTATCAGCACGGGACGCGCCAATGAGTGGACGCACCCGCGCTGTTGGCGAGTAGAGTTAACCGAATTCAACGCATCGGTAAGAAATACCACAAATCATGCATCAGTACGGGACGCGCCAATGAGTGGAAGCACCCGTGCTGCATATGTGTTGTCAGCCTCAGCACGGGACGCGCCAACGAGTGGAAGCACTCGTGCTGTTGGCGAGTAGAGTTAACCGATCTCAAAAAGAAAGAACAAAACGCCGTACACGTATCAGTACGGGACGCGCCAATGAGTGGACGCACCCGTGCTGTTGGCGAGTAGAGTTAACCGAATTCAACGCATCGAAAACGAAGTCGTACACGTATCAGTACGGGACGCGCCAATGAGTGGAAGCACCCGTGCTGCATATGTGTTGTCAGTTTCAGCAAGGGACGCGCCAATGAGTGCTGTTGGCGAGTAGAGTTAACCGATCTCAAAAAGAAAGAACAAAAACGCCGTACACGTATCAGTACGGGACGCGCCAATGAGTGGACGCACCCGTGCTGTTGGCGAGTAGAATTAACTGATCTCCACGCATCGAAAACGAAGTCATACACGTATCAGTACGGGACGCGCCAATGAGTGGAAGCACCCGTGCTCATATGTGTTGTCAGTTTCAGCAAGGGACGCGCCAATGAGTGGAAGCACCCGCGCTGCGTACAAGTATCAGTACGGGTCGCGCCAATGAGTGGAAGCACCCGTGCTGCATATGTGTTGTCAGTTTCAGCGAGGGACGCGCCAATGAGTGGAAGCACCCGCGCTGTTGGCAAGTGGAGTTCACCGTATCCAACGCATCGGAAAAAAAAAAAACACGTATCAGCACGGGACGCGCCAATGAGTGGAAGCACCCGTGCCGATGGCGAACCGGGGTTCACCGAATCCAAGAAAATATATATGTAAAAAAAAAAAAAAAAGAGAAACCATCGCTAGTGGTCCAAAGAGAGAAATATTCGGGATTGGTCGACGTCCGGTGACCGTAGCGTCAGCAGCAATAATCACTCCATTCAATCCACAGGCGTCGAGAACGAACTAACGCGAGCTCGCGATATAACAACGCGTCGTTCTGGGCCCGACGAAAACCCACGTCAGATAGTTTCGCCCGAAGATAGGATTTGTAGACCATTCTAACTGCAGATCCAGGCGCGCGATCGACTACGCCCACGATGAAGAGGGAAATAAGTGTTCCCGCAACGCCGCCCTGACGCTCGCCCGCCGCCTGCCGCCGGTCCGCTGCTTATACGACTCCAACCGCGACCAGATGCCGACACGGGCCTCCACGCGGAGCGGCAGGGCAGCGGCTGGGCAAGCAGGGCGAGGTCGGGCGGCGACACCTTCGACACCACGCACGAGGAGGTCTACCGCGCGATCGGTGGCGAGCTCGACGGCTCGCCCCTCGACGCGCAGCGGATCACGTACTCCCGCGAGGCGTCGAGCGGTATCCTCCTCGCGAGCGCCAGGGACAGGCACCCGCGGCGACCCCCCCGCTGATGAGACTGAGCTCGCTTCTCTCCGCGGGCTGGTGGACGGCCTGAGGGAGGAGCTGCAGCGGAAGCGCGATGAGGCTGCCGGCGATCGCCAGCAGCTTCAAGCAACGATCGACGACCTGATCGCCACCCAAGCAGCAGGACCTGGCCTTCCGGGGGGAGGTGCAACTGGCGGGCACAACCGCCCCACCATCGGCCTCTCGGGCCCCCGCTACACCCAGCGCCGAGGCGGCTAAGGCTACGGCAAAGGATAGAGCGCGGATGTGGGGGGACCTCCGCCGGGTAAAAAGCGTGGCTCATCCTGGGGCGGCCTCCGGCAGTTTCAAAACTGTCGCAGATGGAGTGGCAATCCTTGCTTCGCAAAGGCGTCCTGGTGACAGAGAAAGTGGCGGCATCGCTCGACACGCTCGTGGTTACTGCTTCGCCTTCAACTCGTCGTCCGGTTGCCATGATCGTAACTGCCCACACATCCACACCCAGAACCCTTCCCACGCTAGGCGCGGAGCGTCCGAAACTCCGGCAACCGGCGCGCGCGGCGTTGGCCACGGCAACGGGGGAGGGCGCGGAGGAGAGGCGCGCGCCGCTGGCGAGGGCGGCGCGAGACCCAAGGCCGCTGGCTTCTTCACCCACGGGAAAGACAAATAGGGGTGCGGGCTCTCCCGCGTAGCGGGGGGGCCTACCTCGGATGCAGCGCACCTGCGGCTAAATCGAACGGCAGCACGCTGGTCTACACGAGGTTGGCTCCAGGGCTATCAGCAGGTTCAGGACCTGGGACAGGCAGGACGGGACTTTGTTACCGACGTCTTGGCATGCAGCTCGTCGAGCACTCAGTTGCGTCTTCGTCTAGAAGGACTTACACGTCAGGCTTCAACTCTTGGTGCACGTTTCACAGGCTGACGGAGAAGCCCAAGTTCCTAGGGCAACGTGCCGGGGACCTTCATGTGTGGGAGTTGATAGACTTCGTAGCCTGGTGTTTCGAGTCTGAGGGTAATCTAGCGAGTACAATATCCGGAAAACTCACGGCTGTACAACATTTTCATAGGCTGGAAGCTTCTGTCGAGCTAGACTTGTTGTCTCCGATGTTGAAATGTGCGCTAAGGGGGATTGCGAGGAACCACGTGGCTGTGGGGACGGTACGCCGTGTGCGCCTGCCTGTGTCTTGGCGTATGCTGCTGGACGGGGAAAGCGCAAGCCAGAACTGGGGGGAAGGGGGCAGAGTGATGTGGCTGTGTCTGTGCTTGTCTTATCTCTTTATCACACGGTCTGATGAGGTGTTCGCGAATGATGCGGGCAGGGTGCATGAGGCACACTGTCTTACGAGGGCGGACGTAGCATTGTTTGCTGGCGAGACGCAATTAGTCTTTAGTCACTATCGTAGAGCAGACCGTGTCGAAATGAGGTTTAGAGGGCACAAGGCCGATCAAGAGCAGAAAGGAAACATACGGGTTCGTACGCGAGACGAAGTCACCGGACCGCAGTCAGGTGTGAGAGCACGCGGCGGCGCGGTGGCTCTTGTGGTGGAGCTGTTATCGTGTCATGCGACGTTCCCTGACTCCGCACCGTTGGCTTCGTACCGTAGTGGAAGAGCAGTGAGAGTAGTGAGGTATACTGCTGCCCTCCGTGCACTCAGAGAAGTGGTAGCGAAGTCGGGGCGTAACCCCCAGGAGTACGCGTTGCACTCGTTGCGAATTGGAGGCGCGACGGCTCTTGCATCGGGCGGAGACATCGCAGAACGAGTGATTCAGAGAGAAGGGAAGTGGAGGTCGGATGCATACAAGCCGTACGCGTGAAACAATGTAGAGGATTCGCGGCGAGTGTCACAGAAACTTACAGACGGCAGTAGGATCGTATCGAGACAGCCGGGGGAGGGGACCGTCTGGGGGAACGGATAGTTGACTTATTCGGTAGTCGTCCAGAAACTGACCTCGATGTGGGTGTTGTAGAATGGTGTGTACCATTTGAGGACTTGGTCAGTTTTGGGACTCCTGCGTTTGCAGTCGTAGTCCCCCGGCTAGTATTTGTGGGGGAGAGAGATGGATTTGTAAGAGTTGATGCCGGCCTTTGCAGCTAACGCGGCCGGAGAGACGATGAGCGTTTCGTGCGTCTCTCTCCCCAACACGTAGCCTAGAAACCGAAGAAATAATGAAGCAATTCGAAAGAAAACAAAATAAAAGGAAGGTTTGTTCGTCGAAGCAGATAGAATAAACTGGTGTTTATTTTGTAACAGTCGAATTAGAATTTGGCTTCATTTTCTACCGGAAACCCAGGGTCACGGTGTTTGGAATTATTAGTCTATAGTTGGGGGTGTCATTCCGTGATCGAGTCCACGCAGGGGCTGTAGCAAAGTCGGGTAACGTGTGACAGCTACAGAGCGCGTGAAGCAACGGAAGGACAGCAGCAGCCGCCTAACGCAGTAGCGGCGGCAGTTTAGAAAATCCCGCCCTCCCATCCCTTTTCTTTCGAAGGTGGGGGCATAAGTTCGGGAATATTCGGTATCTAGTCAGGTGTTGTAGAATGGTGTGTACCATTTGAGGACTTGGTCAGTTTTGGGACTCCTGCGTTTGCAGTCGTAGTCCCCCGGCTAGTATTTGTGGGGAGAGAGATGGATTTGTAAGAGTTGATGCCGGCCTTTGCAGCTAACGCGGCCGGAGAGACGATGAGCGTTTCGTGCGTCTCTCTCCCCAACACGTAGCCTAGAAACCGAAGAAATAATGAAGCAATTCGAAAGAAAACAAAATAAACGTACTATTCTGCTCCTGCGAATACCCCGGTAGGATGGAAGAAGGCAGTATTGGTACCGGGAACCAGTGGGCCTCAACGAAATAGGCTGGACCGAACACATGGAAGAATTAGGAAACCGAAATGGTGGAAATCACAACCTCTAATAGAGTAATCGTTAGTGCCAAGTGATGCAGGCACTTTGGAGTTGCGTTACATCGCCTTGGAGAACGGACATCAAACCGCGAGGGAGGTGGAGGTGCATTGTTGTGTCATACTTGCAGCCAACACGACAATACTCCTTTTGCAGCCAATAAGACAATAGTCCTAAATCAAAGGTCCTCTTTCGTGTTGTAGATGGCAATATTTGTGGATGAAAGCTCTCTCTGTCTCTCTCTCTGTCTCTCTCTCGTTGCCCGTACTGCAAGACAAGATCTCTCGTCATGTATTGTGACCTAGAGAAAGATGGAAGGCAACCCGCAATCCCGAGGCCCGGGCCGACATCAGAGATGCTGGCCTGACTATCCTCCCATACATGCTGAGAATCTCGCTCCCATTTTCTGGCACTTTGTTGTCTTTTCGCAGATTACGATGCTGGCGACTGCTGCCAGTGCACCTGTGGGATTGAGTCCGATGACCTTCCCGACTTTTCCTGCGTGGACTTTGCTTGCGTTGACCCGAACGCACCGTGTGTGGATGACGACGTCACGGAGGGGATGTTTGAGGACTGCTTCAACTTCGGCGATGGATTCTGCAACGACTACAACAACAATGAACAATGCGGTGCGCCCGAACAATTCGTCGTGTTGAATCGATTGAGCGTGGGGATGAGGGTAGTTCTTAGCGCTGCCAGCCCGTGGCATCGAGTGGTGTACCTCATGGGACCTTTAACCCTGTAGATGTCGGGCAGTACCCTATCATCCCGAAAGACAGGCCCAACCTTGTGACGCCTTTTCATTTGTCAGGTTACTGCATCGGCAAGACAATCAGCACAATCACCACGCTCATGAGTCGTATCGCTCAACCTTGACCTCGATCGTTTTCTCAACGGTTGCGTTCTATTACAGCTCGCAAAGCGAAATTCTCTCTCGCCCATTCAACTCCTTCAATGTGCGTGGTAAGAGGCGTGATAACCAAGATCGATCCCCCTTGGTTTGCTTGTTTGTTCCTTCCCTATTCCTCAGGCTATGACGGTGGCGACTGCTGCGAGTGCACCTGCGTGGTTGATTGGTCCGCTGAGTTCGGTTGCACCGAGTTCGCATGTATTGATCCAACGGCTCCGTGCGTTGATGATGACGACGTTACGGCTGATGCGCTGGAAAACTGCATGATGGAATATCTTGGCGACGGATACTGCGATACTTACAACAACATCGAGATATGCGGTGCGTCATACTGCTATTTCTAAGTGGTCAAAGTGGCACTTACGTCGACTCTTTCCTCCGCCTTGTGTGGATTGGAGTACCCCGCCGCTGGTCATGGATGATACTTGGCAGTAGTCCAATTGGCGACCTACTGTCCATACAATCTCTCACACTACTGACAGTTTTGCTAAACCACCCATGGGCGGCCCATGACGTCCCCATGCGTGGGCATTTCAACCTAGAACTTCGCCACCGGCATATCCACCTAGAACTTAGCCACCAGCGCCAACCTATAATAGCACGTATCGTGTTGGCTTGGGGTTAGGGATAGGGTTAGCGTTAGGGGTATTCAATGCCCGTTCCAAAGCAGATATTCTATTGTTGAGGAGTACACTGATTCCGGTTGAAAGACTCTCATTGGCCGCCCATGGGCTTCGCATGGGTTGCCATGGGCCGCCCATGGGTCAACCATGGGCTTGCCGATGGGCAACAAATTGCCCATGGGCTGCCCATGGGTGTCCCATGGGTGTTTTAGCAAAACTGTAGAAAGTGTGGGAGACCCTGTCCATGCGACCTTTCCTCGGGCAGGCCATCACCTCAAACGTCTATCCCTCGTCAACAACTCGATAACACTGCATCGTGATTCGTGTTTCTGTGCAGAAAGCAGTGCGTTGGCCTTGGCCCGTGCATTGCCGTCCACTACATCATCTAATTGAATCGTAGCTCAAATTTGTTTGGAATGGCTCAAGGGCTTTGTGGAACCCCTCGAATTAGTTGCTTGGGCTCTTCTCTCTTTCTTCTGCTTGTCGATGTTCCCAACTCCTCAGATTATGATGGCGGCGACTGCTGCGAGTGCACGTGTGGAAGTGACTCTACAGACGTGCTTGATGGAGGCGACTGCTCGGATTTCGTGTGCATCGACCCAACGGCGTCATGTTTCGATGAAAACATCACGGTCGACATGTACGAGTACTGTGACGTCGAATTACTCGGTGACAGCATATGCAACCTGTCCAACAACTTCGAAGTATGCGGTGAGTGGCGGTTCGATACTTCAATGTCTGTCACATGCACGTCTACGGTTTCCCCGGCCAAGTGTCGATTGCTGCGTTGCGGTCAGTAGAGTATTTCCTATTGCTTGAACAACGAGAGTGCCGTCTTTGCGATGCGTCCGGGCGCTTTCTGTAAAGCCTCGACATGGATCATGCTCGTTGTGACCCCACACACCAACCCAACCCCCGCACTGCCCATCAAGATACTGCGTGCGGCGGCTACGCTTCACTCTCACCGATTGCTCCAACAGCGCCCTTAGCAGTAGGAACGGGTCCACGAGCTTTTGGTCAAGGTCAGGTGCAACCTCTAAACATTTTTCTGTCGTTCTGCACCTTTTGGTTGATGCTTTCTTTACCCATTGATGGGGGTGACGCTTAACACTGGTTCATCCCTTCATCACTGAAAGCAGCAGAATTCCCCCTTCCCTTCACCGCTCACCGCGGACCCTGCCCAATGGGTCCTAGGGCACGTGAAAATTGCGGTGGAACGCCGAACATCGTTCCGGTTGTGTGTATCCAACTGTGCATTTCCCCGTTCCACAGACTATGACTTCGGCGACTGCTGCGAGGCCACCTGTGGGGTTGACTCATCTGGAACGCTTGATGAGCTTTCCTGCTCAAGTTTCGCGTGTATCGACCCCCAGTTCGTGACGCCAGCACCGACTCCGGCACCGCTCTCCTCGGAGTGCCTAGACGACCCCGCGTGCGTGGATGGTACCCGAGGGCAGTCTGTCGACGACCCAGGTGCGCAAGAACGTGCGATCACTCAAGGTTCCATTGCGGCAATTATTGTCACCGTGATCAACGTACTCTTCCTTGCCTTTCGGAAAAAGGGTAAAGGAGACGACGAGGTCCATTGCTCCCTGCTCTTGATGGCGTACGCGTTCTCCGTGGCCGAGGGCATATCTGTTATTTTTTTGGTGCCCGACTCGAGAGAAAATCTCAAGATCGGAGCGGTTCTTTTTTTTGGTTTTGTGGCTGCTGTGTCTGGTTACCTCCTGCGCAAATCTGGCCGTTACGTAGCACTCTCGATCGCCAACGCAGTTTGGGAAGCGTTGTTCGCCTTGTTCATTTTGTTGTATTTCGTGGAACAGTCCACGCGAAACATCTTCCTGTTCGGGATTGTAGCTGGTAACGAGGCCTTGGTTGGTTTGGCTATCGCTGTACGTGTGGGTGGTACACCCACCAGTGGCGAAAATGCTGCCGAAGCAAAGTTCGAAATTGCTATATCTCTTGGGGAGGCAGTGGGCGACATGCTTTTCCCGTTGATCGCAACACTGGTCCAGTCATTATTTCACCGTGATAGTGCGTGGAGGTCGGACTTCGTTTTGACGTGGTGGGCGATTACTGGGTTCGCCAACACGTCTGCGTTTTGCATGTGTTTCATGCCTCCAATGAATAGGATTGCCTTCGGGCCAAAACTTGCGTGCAAGTCCCAGATATTTTTCAGTTTAACTCTGGGTATCTTGGCCTTTGTGATGCTTACGCTGACCGAGGTAAACATCACAAATCCTCCGACGTTTGACATCGCCTGGAGTAGCGTGTCCGGGGCGGTTGGTGTGCTATACGCGTGGGGTTTCTGGAAACTCTTCGAACATATTCGACACATCCCTGACGGTCAGAGCGTCGGGGACATTGTGAGCTCAGTGGTGCATGCCATTCAGGACAATCCTGAGGGTCAGAGCAAATGGTACGTTCTGAAGTCAGAGTTGCATTACTACCATCAGGGTAGGGAGAGAGTGCAAGACAGTGAACCTTCTGGTGCTTGATTCGTTTTCGTTCTTCTTCATTTTATGTTATTTGGGAGAATAGCCATTGCCTCACGCACAGTTTGTCGCTGACGTACATCTGCTCAACGCGAGCGCCCACGTTTTCCCGGTGTTTGTCCTTTGGGGCTTGTCGCAAACTCCATGGGTGTTTGGTCTGTTTCGGAGTGCTGCACCCTTCCGCGTTTCACCCGTCTTGCTTTCCAGTGCTCAACGTTCTTGTTGCTTTCTTGTCTTGCCGCAACATGCTGGAAGCCGATAAAGTTGTTTGTGGGCCCTCTCGTGCTTGTAGTTTGCGGTCAGCTGCGGACCGGGTTGACGTTGGCAGAGCCATGTAGGTTATCGACGTGTCGTTTTTGTTTGTTTGCTTTGAGCCGTTTTTGTCTGGCGTTCGGGAGCGTATCGCCTCACCGTGCACTATTCTTGTAATATTGTTTGGCCGCCGTCTTGGCTTTCAAGAGGGCACTTTGCCACGGTGCCCCTTGGTCACGCCACCACCCATTTTCCGCACTCGTGCTTCCTGCCCCCGCCCGCAAACCATTTGTATTTGGTCGAGAACCACGTGGCTGCCAAATGCAGGCGAGGGGCTCCGCCTGAACTGTGTAGGTGTAGCCAATCAGAGATGTAGTCGATAGAGCAAGCCAATCAGGAAACGGGAATCATATCGTGAACATTACTTGAACGATTCGTAGCCGATGGGATTGTCGACATTTATCGTGCGAATCAGTCCATTATATTTTCAAGTCGTTGTACGATACGTTACGCACGAATTTCCCATGAGCATGAAATTCTCCATTATGCAGTTGGTATCACCCCCCCCACCTCCCACAACACACCACCAGCCACAATTTACCATATCTTTGATCAGGTATCCACCTCGCCGCAGGACACGTCTTGTTCACTCACACTTCCTGCGGCGGCATTGCGCGTCACGTGCCCAAACCTATCCCAGACGCCACTTCCACCATGCTGTATCGCGTCCCACCAGCCCACTCAAAACTCACTCACCTTCCCGTAATATGTTCCTTGCTTAACGATCCTCCCGCCATGCTATCTCGCGTACCGCCAAACGCGTGGCTAACCTGGTTTCTTCCAACCCCTGCCGTGTTTATTCACACTCACCTCAACGGCATACGTCCTCGCCAATCGAATCCCTTACCCGATCCTTCGGGTCATGCCATCTCGTGTCCGTTGGAGTCCTGCCCAGAGCGATTGCTTTCTTCCCAATTCATGCCGAGTGCACTCACCCTCGCTTTCATGGCTTCCGTACTCGCCAATCGAGCCCCCGACACTTACCCTGGCATGATATCTCGCAGCCATTCGAAGCCCTGGCTACTAGATGGATTCCTTTCCTCCCAACTCCGGATTTGTTCCCTCACCCAATCTCCGTGGCACATTCCACCGGGAACTAGCCCTTTCCCTGACCCTTCTCCCGCAATGCCATGTCGTGTCCACCCGTTCTCCTATCCACACACTCTTCGTGTCTGCCAACGCATCATGGTTGACACAATCTCGTGCGTGCCATTATTCCTCCCGAAAAAACACTCATTTCCATACCCTTCTCTCGTCTAGCGGATATCCGGACTAAACCCCGATGTCATTCCTCCCAAACCACGCCTCATTCACTCACTCTCACCCTTTTCGTCATTCCAGCCCCTTCGCAGCAAATTTCCTGCGATTCCTCTCGCGTCCATCCAAGCTCCCGGCTATTGTTCCCCCACGACGCCTTGTTCGCATACTCTCGCCTCACTGGCATCGCTCTTCTCCAGAGTTTCTGCTTCCCGATAAACCCACGATCCACTCACGGGATCCTGCCGGAAAGGGCTCCTCGCCTACATATCCCACCCTTTCCCGACCCGTCTCCCGCCATGCCATCTCGCGACAAGCCGAGATCATGGACAAAGTAACCCCTTGCCTCCCAGCACACGCAATACTCACTCACGTCCACCTATATGGTATGGTCCTCGCCAATTCAGCCCCTTCCCTGACCCTTCTCCCTCCGTGCTACCTCGCATCCACACGAGCTCCAGGCTACGCCGATGTCTTGCCTCCCAACCTACTCTGTGTTCACTTACACGGACCAAGTGGCTGAATTGGCGAGGACGGATGCCACTGACGTGAGAGTGAGTGGAAGATGCTCGAGCTCTGGGAGGCAGGAGTCGTGTGACTAGGTGATGACAGGAGCTGAAATGCCACTGAGGTGAGAGCGAGTGAATGATGCATGAATTCGGAAGCA